CTCTCTCTCTCCTATATATATTTAATTAATTATATAGTAAATATAAAAAAAGTAAGTACTATACATATATATATATTAAAAAGAAGTATATTTTTATAATTATTTAAATATAAAACTAAAAAATGAATAATTAATTCAAAATATATATAATTATATTTAATTTTGAAATAATTATATTTAGGCAAAATTATACCTTACATCACGACTTTATCGACTTTTGCATTTCTGTCACGACTTTGGGACCTTGACATTTTGATACCCAACCTTTGAGTTATTTGCAAGACCAAGCATTAACCAAATCGTCGGCCGATAAATGCCACTCTGTCTGGCAACTTAAACCAACATGGCACTGACGTGGATAATGTTCCTTGGGCCTAATTTACACGTCAGATCGGACGACATCGTTTATACAAAATCCCAAATACAAATTCATCTTTTCCAAAATTAAAACACTAAAATCCCTAAATTCTTCTTCAAATCTCAATTGCCCGATCCAAAACCCTCGACCCTTGAACGAAAATTCTCCCTTAGAGTATCAATTGTTCGATCAGAAACCCTTGACCACTTACCAAAATCCTTCTCGACATATGGTGAGCAGCTCGACGAATAGTGGAGCTTCCAACGGGGGATTTGCCGAGACATTGCACTAATATTGAGCTAATAAAGAAAACAAAAAAGGAGTTATTTCGTACATGTCCGTCATCTTCAATGGGATTTGCAGAGATTTCTAGGGTTTTTCGATGGCAGATTTGCAGAAATTTCAAGCTTTCATCACAAAATGCAGATTTGTCGAGTATTTGTAGGGTTTTTCAATGGCTTTTGGATTTGTCGTCACAAATTTTGGGTTCTCGAAACCTTCGAATGATTTTTAGGTTGTCGAGACCTTCGAAAGGAACTTAGCTATTTTGGATTTCGATTTTGATTTAGGGATAGGAATTTAGGGCATCTGTTTTTGATTTATTATGCAATAATTAATGAAAATTTTCATATATTTATACATGATATCAAAACGATGTCGTTCGATCTGGCGTGTAAATTAGGCCAGAGGAACATTATCCACGTCAGTGCCACGTTGGTTTAAATTGCCGGACAGGGTGGCATTTACCGGCCGACGATTTGGTCAATGCTTGGTCTTGCAAATAACTCAAAGGTTGGGTATCGAAGTGCCAGAGTCCCAATGTCGTGACAGAAGTACAAAACTCGATAAAGTCGTGATGTGAGGTGCAATTTTGTCTTATATTTATAATTATATGAAAAAAATATATTTTTATAATTAATTAAATATATATATATATATAACATAATAAATTCTAATGTATAACATAATAATTTATAAGTTTTAACATAATAATAATAATAAAAAAATTCTATAAGATTTCTAACATAATAATAATGAAATGCTATAAGATATCAATTATAACTCATAGTATAATAATTTCTAAATTTGAATTTATAAAATAATAATATATAAATTCTAACATAATTTATATAATAAAAAATGATTGTAAAAAACAAAAAAAAAAAACGGCCGACGATCGCGGACGTGCACGGTCGCGTCCTATTGGCGATCGCGGACGTGCACGGTCACATCATTTGCAAAAATTGGAAAAGAATTTTGCAAGAATTGGAAAAGAACCGAACCGGTGTCGGCTAACACGGTTCGGTTCATTCAATTAACCAATTACAAAAAATAGTCAGTAATGACCAGTTTTGACTTTTGAGTTCGAAAACCGTCAAAACATTGTAACTCCGTATAAAAAATATCAAAAGTACCCGAAAACCATAATATAACAATGAAGAACCAAATAATATTACCTAAGAACTAGAACAAATGAGTACATATAAAATAAAATGCATGCATAATGTGCATAAGTAGCCGGTTCTTTGGTTAATACATGTTCATTCGCAATAGGAACTCTTATTGTTTAACACTAAACAATAAGGGCGTGTAGCAAGATGATAAGGTATATTACAAATCTTGAGTGGTTGATTGGAAGAAAAACTTTTTTTTTTTTTTTTTTTTTTT